AGCAGGAGAAAAATGTAGAACAGAATTCAAATTCACTTAAAAGGACAAGACTTACTGGTCTGACAGAGACTGAAGGAACCCCTGAAACTGTGGCCCCCTACTCTGCTAACCTAGAACTGAAACCATTCTGGAAGCCCACTTTTCACACAAAGATTAGACAGGCCTATAAAACAAAAATAACGCACCTGAGGAACATGCTTCTTAGTTCAATCAAATAGATGAGCCCAAATGGGCAACTCCTGTCCAAAAGCAAGACAAGAAGGCAGGAAAAGACAGCAAGTGGACGAATGGACACCAGGAACCTGGGGTGGAAAGGGGGAGCACGCTGTCACATTGTGGGGATTGCAACCAATGTCACAAAACAATATGTGTATAATTTTTTTTTATTGTGCTTTAGATGAACATTTACAGAGCAAATTAGTTTCTCATTAAACAATTAATACACATATTGTTTTGTGACATTGGTTGCCAACCTCGTGACGTGTCAACATTCTCCCCTTCTTGACCTTGGGTCCCCATTTCCATTCGTCTGGCTTTCCTGTCCCCTCCTACCTTCTGGTCCTTGCTCCTGGGCTGGTGTGCCCATTTAGTGTTGTATATATGGTTGAGTTATGTGTGTTATTGTTTGTTTTATGGACCTGTCTAATCTTTGGCTGAAGGGTGAACCTCAGGAGTAACTTCAATACTGAGTTAAAAGCATGTCCAGGGGCCATACTCTTGGGGTTTTCTCCTGTCTCTGTCAGACCAATAAGTCTGGTGTTTTTTTGTGAGTTAGAATTTTGTTCTACATTTTTTTCCAGCTCTGTTCGTGACCCTCTATTGTGATCCCTGTCAGAGAAGTCGGTGGTGGTAGCTAAGCACCATCTAGTTGTGCTGGAGTCAGTCTGGTGGAGACTGTGGCAGTTGTGGTCCATTAGTCCTTTGGACTAATTTTTCCCTTGTCTTTGGTTTTCTTCCTTCTCCCTTGCTCTAGTCGGGCTGGGACCAGTGGAGTACCTTAGATGGCCGCTCACAAGCTTTTAGATCCCAGACACTACTCACCAAAGTAGGATGTAGAACATTTTCTTTATAAACTATGTTATGCCAATTGACCTACATGTCCCCCGAAACCATGGTCTCCAGCCCTCAGCCCGGTAATTCAGTCCCTCAGGGAGTTGGATGTGTCTATGAACATGTGTATAAATTTTTGAATGAGAAATTAACTTGAGTTGTAAACTTTCACCTAAAGCACAATTTAACAGACACGCACACACACAATGAAAGAACTTCTGTAATGGCAAAATTCAGGCATACTCTCTACTGAGGACAACAGAAAAGCCTGACAAAATATTACAAACCACCTGCTTGAAGGCATCAAAGAGTTAACAAGGCATGAAAAGATTGTGTGACCAAGAACCAGAAGAATCTGGTAACCCAGAGAGTTGAGCAAGGCATTTGGGGCTGTATCTCCCTAGAGGAATTAGTTCCCTGAGATTTGGGGGATAATACTTGATGAATAAGGCCTGCCAAGAAGGGTCCTTTCAGATTGTGACCCTGGAGGGCTATACCATAGGAGAAACAGTGAGCTGGAAGTAGAATGACTTTTGCAGGGACTGAAGCCCAGCTTCGTGTCATCTAGTTCTGGACATTGAATTAAGGTGATCTTGGATTGCTAGTGTTCCTAACTGCCTGCCAGAATCCAGTATAAATCCTCTCTAGAGAAAGATAATATCATCCTAGGCTTTAAGTTATTTTTATAATTTTTTCATATTCAATGTTAAGCACTCAATCAAAAGCACACAGGCTGTCTTAGTTATCTAGGGCTGCTGTAACAGAGATAGCACAAGCGGATGGCTTCAACAAACAGAAGTTTATTCTCTCACAGTCTAGTAGGCTAGAAGTCCAAATTCAGGGTGTCAGCTCCAGGAAAAGAGTTTCTCTCTCTGTCGGCTCTGGAGGAAGGTCCTTGTCATCAATCTTTCCCTGGACTAGGAGCTTCTCAGCACAGGGACTCCAGGTCCAAAGGATGCATTATTCTCCTGGCTGTTGTTTCTTGGTGATATGAGGTCCCCTTGTCTCTCTGCTCACTTCTCTCTTTTATATCTCAAAAGAGATTGGCTCAAGACACAATCCAATCTTGTAGATTGAGTCCTGCCTCATTAACATAACTGCCGCTAATCCCATCTCTTGAACATCATAGAGACAGGATTTACAGCACATAGGAAAATCACATCAGATGACAATACTGGGAATTGTGGTCTAGCCAAGTTGATACACATATTTTTGGGGGATACAATTCAATCCATGACATGGGCAAAAAGACAATATGATTAAAAGAGAGATAGAAGTAGAGGTAGAGAAACAATAGAAAATAGAAATAACAAACAATAGAAACAGACACACAGATTATCCACATAATCTGTTTGCAGAAACAGACTTTAAGGTAATTATTCTTAAATGCAAAAGCATATTGAAGGTATGCTATTCTTCATGTAATATAAGTATATATGCTCATTTCTGCAACAGAAATACAGAAGACTAAACCAGAAACTAAAGACATTGGTTACCTATGGGGATGGGGTAGGAAAGGGGTAGAAAGAAGAGGGAAATGGGAATGGGGTAGTAGGAATGAGGAAGGAGTGATATTTCTCTTGAGTATACCTTTTTGTATAGCTCTGACTCTTAGAACTATTATACTGTTTCACATTCACCAAAAAATAAACAATTAAAATCAACCAGGATATGGGAAGAACCCAAAATGTACTATAAACAAATGAACCTAACAGTGTTACAAATGAATAAAATAACCACACTGAAGTGGATGAGTAACTTTGTAAAACCGTACTTTGATTGAAAACAGGCAGTCCCCAGGTTACGAACATACATCCAACTTATGTACTACCTGTAGTTATGAACCAACCCCCACAAAGGCTATTATATTAAAAATTTGAGGTACATAACAATAGTTCATAATAACAAACAGGTGCTACTTTGCGATGTGCATCAAAACGTTATTATTATTATTAATGTATTATTATGTTAAAGAGTTTTAGTATATCTGAAGCGTTTCTTTCATGTTTTTGATGCATAGAAAGGTACACTATATACTAAGACAAACATTTGATTAACTGATGTTAGATACGAACTGTACCTGTTTTGATTTTCGTACAAATTTGATTTAAAGACAGGCTTAGCAACAGAACTCTTTTGTAATCCAGTGACTGCCTGTACTGTAAAGCTGTTGTTGGTGTTGTTAGGTGGAGTTGTTAGTTGATTTTTGACTCATAGCAACCCCATGTGACAAAGCAGAACTTCCCCACAGGGCTTTCTAGGCTATAATCTTTATGGAAACAGATTGCCAAGACTTTCTCCCATGAAGCCACTGGCTGGGTTCAAACTGCCAACTTTTTAGCTGTGCCACCAGAGCTCCTTACTGTAAGGCTAAACAAACAAACAAAAAAGTACATAAAGATTGTACTATAAATTAGTAAATTTGTTTCTCAGAGGTTTGGGTTAGCTATTCTGCAATTATATGTATGCTAAGATTGAACAAATATGTAAAAATATATTGTAGATAATGACTAATGTCTCTCACTATTGGAGAAATAAATTTCAAATAAGGAAAGAGGAAAGGCTAGAATAAACCCTGTGGTGTTGACTGGTGTCTGCGAACTTGAGTTGTGGATGGGTTTCCACCATTCTCTAAATGACAACCACGGCTTACTGTGCCTAAACTGTGAAACAATATGGTTTATGCTGAACACCTGATTTCCTGCTGGGACTATGGAATTTTGGTATGTGGTAGGCAGAGGGTGTTTGTATGACTAACCCTCGACAGATGCCCTAGACTCCTAAGCTCAGGTAAGCTTCCTTGGTAGATAACATTTCACACACGTTGTTACATTTTCTTGCTGGAGAAATTAAGCACATCCTGTGTGACTCCACTAGGAGAGGACACTTGTAAGCCTGAACGTGGTTTCCTCTGGATTTCACCCCATGTGCCTTTTTCCTTTGCTGATTTTACTTTGTATCCTTTCACTGTAATAAATGATATCCCTGAGTCCAACTATATGCTGCATCCTGTGAGTCCCCCTAGCAAATCACTGAACTTGTAGGTGGTCTTGGGGACCCTGATGTACTAAATGAACCCCAAACAAGATAAACTCAAAGAAATCCATGCCAAGATACTTCATAATTAAACTTGTGAAAACTAAAGACAAAAACTGTATCTTGAAAGCAACCAGAGAAAAAAGTCACATTACCTATAGAGGAACATCAATTAGAATGACAGTGGATTTCTTATCTGAAACCACAGAGGCCAGAAGGAAGTGGCACAATACTTTTTAAGTGCTGAAAGAAAAGAATGCCAAATTCTACAGCCAGCTAAACTATCCTTTAGGAATGAAGGAGAAATAAAAACATCTCAGACAAGGAAAATTTGTTGCTAGTAGACCTACCCTTAAAGATTGGCTAAAAGAAGTTCTTCAAACAGAAACGATGGAATCCTCAAGCCAGGGAAGGAAGAAGAAACAATGAAAGAGCAGAAATATGGGTACAGACAACAGTCTATCCTTTTCCTCAAGAGTTTTATAAAACAAAAATTATAACACCATCTGATACTTGAAACAATGATATTTAAAAGTGGGGAAGGTAAAGGGACCTAAATGTTAGTGAGGTTTCCACACTTCACTTAAAGTGGTTAAAAAGTTGATACCAGTAGACTGTTACAAGTCACACATGTATACAGTAATACCCAGAGCAACCATTATGAAAACTATACAAAGAGATACACTCACAAATACCATAAATAAATCAAGATGAAATCCTAAAAAATGTTCAAGTAACCCACAGGAAGGCAGGAAAAGAGAAGCAGAGGAAACAAATGAAAAATAAATAATAAAATAGCAGACTTAAGCACTAACATATCAATAGTTATCTTAAATGTAAATGGTCTAAATACGCCAATCAAAAGGCCCCACAATCCATGGGTTGTCATCAGAGAACAGAGGGAATGCACCTACCATTTGGCTTTCTGGAGTCTGTGTCCTGCACGTCTGAAGAAACATGCCGCTCCTCCTCGAGGGCTCTGTCTGGAGACCCTCCTGGAGACCTCTGGTAGTCTCTCTGCTCAGAACCCTGGGTTGTGTTACCGGTGGGAGGCTGTTTGCTGGGGGCCCAGCTCTGCCTGCTGGGCTGATCCTGGATGCTGGGTGGATGAGCAAGGGGCTGGGGTCTGCATACAACAGGGCTCAGCCTTCCCTTCTGCTGTTCTGCCTCTTTTCGCTTGCTTTCTTCCTCTCTCTTCCTGGAAGCAAAGTGAAGGAAGAAGAAAAGAATATTGAAAGCTCAAGTGGTCCCGAACGAGATTTAAATTTTAAGAGGAGCCACCATTATCACAAGAGGGATTTGGACATTCACATTTTTCCAAGAGTAGTCTTTTCTCCAGATAAAATAAAAACCATTCCTTTTATACCAGGCCTTATAGATCAAAAGATGATAGAGTTGAAAAGACTGTTTTAAAGCAACCTTTGTACCCGACAGTAACAGGGAACTTTGTTTTATGAGACATAACACATTCCCAAGGATGTGTATGCCCCAAGCTTATGTGTGATCCCTGGAGCTACCTGTAACTCCATCCTTTTTTCTCCTCTTCCAGAAAACACATCAAAATGCAACTGAGGATGACAGTCATAGGGATAACCTTGAATCTTCTCTGTTTACTTAAAAAGAATCAATAGCAAGCCTTAATGATTAAATTAAAAAATTATTTCCCAAGCACCTCACAACCGATTATAACTACCTGTGGACTGTAATACTGTCATCAAGAGTTCTAGTTAATGAGTCAAAAAGTCACTCATTTTGCAGATGAGGCTCAAAAGGTAGAATGATTTTCCAAAAGTCATACACAGCTAAGCTGGAACCCTTGGGGAACAAGAGGATAGAAGATGGCTGGCCAGGAGAGGCTGGGTCTGTGACAGAGGCAGAAGTGACAAAGAGTTTGGTAGATGGGTCAGAGATAGTCCAGATGGAGCCCAGGTCCAGACAGGGGTGTGGAGCTTGGGGATAAAGAGGTAGAGTCCAGGGCAGGATTTGTTTGACTGGTGCCATTAATTTGCAGGGATTTCCAAGGGAAAGAAGGGAGGAAGAAAGTGAACATTTTCTGAGCCTCTCCTGTACTGGGCACTGAGGACACAAAAATAAGGACTACAAGGTTTACACCCTCACTTGAGGAACCTTCTTCTACTCAGAGAGGGATAGGTAGGAAAGCAAAGACCTAACACATAATGGAAAAATATTGTGCAATGAATGAATTACTTAATACGGCCCTTCTAGACATGGTCTTTGTGAACCACACACAATGATCGAGTGGGACTATGCAAATAAGATATATGGAACCTGTGATGGTTGGGGTTATGTGTCAACTTGGCTAGGCCATGATTCCCAATATTGTATGGCTGTCCTCCATTTTATGTGTTGTGGATCCTGACCTCTACATGGTGATGAGGCAGGACTGGTATAGGCTATGTCTTGGATCAAAGCCTGTCAGGAAGGTGTGACTCAAGTCCCACCCTTACTCAAGTTATGCCCTTTCCCGGGGTGTGGCCTGTATCTAAGGTATATGTGTGGATGACCTGGTGGAACTCTCTCTTTCTCTGCACCTGGATCCCGTGTCCAGTTCGTGATCAACTGACTTCTGGTTCTTGGGACTTGAGCCAGAGGCCTGCTGTCTACCTGCCAATTCTGGGATTCGCCAGCCTCCACAGCCTCATGGGCCAGCAGCCTATTGTCTGACCTAATTTAACAGCTTATGCAGCTTTGTGAGCCAGCAGCCTGTGGTCTGAACTGCCGGTTTGGGTTCATCAGCCCCTGCAGCCATGCGGGTCGGGAGAAGCCTATGCTTGACCCATGGATTTGGGACTTGTAAGCCTCCACAACCGCGTGAGCCATTTCCTTTATATGGTTCGTGAGTTCTGTGGGATGTTGCAGTGAATTACAGAACCCAAAGAAGGAGGGAAAGTACTGAGGGGAGGGGCAGTAGTTGATGTTAGAGATGATAGAGTGGTACAGCAGTTTGGAAAAGTTGGACATTTGGGACATCTTTAACCTCCGCCTCATAGGAACCAGCTTTGAGTGGATCCGTATGAAAGAAATTATTCACTGATACTGTAACAGTGCGCTTGTGCAGAGAGGTAGTGATTAGCTTTGTCTGGAAGAGTCAACAAGTAGGTTCCAACTATTGACTATCAAAGATGTGTGGGAGTTTGCCAGGCAAACAGGTGGGGATAGGGATTCCAGTCTGGGCAAAGGCAGGTTGCATGGAAGAACTGGGCATATTAAGCTTCTGATTTGGAACAGTACTTGCTAGATACAGCAGGCACCCAATATATACTTGCTGCCCAGATGATTCCCAGTTACTGCTCAGGAAAAGAATTTGGTAGCTACTTAAAGGTTCAGTTTAAAGTAAGATGATTAAGGGTATGGTGGAGATAATCCTGTACTGGGAAATATAAGCATTGTTCTGGTCCTGCCTCTGCCAATACTCAGCTATATGACCTTGAGTGAGTCACTTTCCTGCTGGATACTCAGTTTCCCCAGTTTTAACACAAGATAGTTTGTACTCCTGGTTTGATTTAGGGATCTTTTAGAAACTAGCTGTCTTTACAAAACCTGAGATTTCCTTTTTGTAATGAGATGGAAAGATTACTTCTATTGTAATAGCTTGTATCAGAGTCTTTCTTAGGGAGGACTTTGTTTAAACAAATACTTCAATAAGCTGGGGGTGGGAGTGGGGGCTGGCAAAAGGAGAGACCCTAAGGACCTAGGTGATAGCTGGCACTGAGGCTCCAGAAAAGAAGGCTGCTCTGTATGAAACAAGGAGGGGAATTTGTCTGTAGCTCCCGACAAGGAGGATGAGATGAAGAACCAAGAAGAGACAGGGGAGGGGGAAGAAAGGCATGCTAGACTGGATACTGTATATAGGAAGGGCCAGAGCAAAGAGAACTCTCCCTTGTGGAGGTGATAGAAAGGACTTTTGATCTGTGCTTTTCACATGCCAATGAGCAGCCAAATCACCTGGGATCTTGTTAAAATGCAGATTTTGATTTGGTAGGTCTGAGGTGGGGCTCAAGATTCTGCATTTCTACCAAGCAGCCAGGTTACAGAGATGCTGCAAGTCTTCTGACCACATCTTGAGCAGCAAGTTTCAAGAGAACAGGAAAGTCTAATATGATTGTTAACTATTCTGTATGATACAAAATGTGATCTCTTCAATGACACCCACTTTTTGTAAAGTCTACCATAGTCACACATGCTGTTTTTTAAGCAACATTTTGTGCGAACCAGGACTGGTTAGTTGCAGAGCTGAGATACCAGGCATATCAAGAGCAAAGGCAAAGGCCCTAAGCCCCCAAGAAGTCATATAATTCTGACTTCCACAGGCTGTGGAATCTGAAGCAAAGCTTATTTAGATCTCAAGGGATGGGGAAGACCCAGATGACAGATATCTGGGTGACACTTCGATTTAAAGCTTTGTCGACTTGTTATATTCTGCTTCTGAAGACCTTTCTTCCTATGTGGTGAAGCCCCTGATCTGGGGTCTAAGCTTCCTTTTCTAATAGTTTTCCACTGTGTCTCATCCTGGAGAAAGCAGGCAAATAGCTCATGCTAACTCCTGTACAGCTCTGATGTTTTTATCTGATTCTGGTTTTGTTGTGTGCTTTGTTAACTGTCGATCTGAGCGTGCTACACTGCAACTGACAGGCTAACTACCATTGTCAGAGCCTGAGACTCCTATGGATGCTTGTTACTGTTGTTAGGTGCCGTCAAACGAGTTCCAACTCATAGCCACCCTATGTACAACAGAATGAAACACTGTCTGGTCCTGTGCCATCCTCACAATCGTTGCTATGTTTGAGTACATTGTTACAGCCACTGTGTCAGTCTATCTTGTCAAAGGTCTTCCTCTTTTTCACTGACCCTGTACTTTACCAAGCATGATGTCCTTCTCCAGGAATTGGTCCCTCCTGACAACATGTCCAAAGTATGTGAGATGAAGTCTCACCATCCTTGCTTCCAAGGAGCATTCTGGCTGTACTTCTTCCAAGATAGACTTGTTTGTTCTTCTGGCCGTCCATGGTATATTCAATATTCTTTGCCAACACCATAATTCAAAGGCATCAATTCTTCTTCACATGCATATGAGGTGACTGAAAATATCATGGCTTGGTTCAGGCACACCTTAGTCTTCAAAGTGACATTTTTGCTTTTCAACACTTTAAAGGGGTCTTTTGCATCAGATTTGCCCCAGTGCAATATGTCATTTGATTTCTTTTTTTTTTTTTTTTTAATATTTTATTGTACTTCAGGTGAAGGCTTACAGAACAGATAGTTTCTCATGTAACAGTAACACACATGCTGTTTTACGACATTGGTTAACAACCCCACAACATTTTAACCCTCTAAATTCTCAACTTTTTTTTTTTTTTTTTGTGAAAATACACATAGCCAAAGATACGCCATTTCAAAAATTTTTTTTACATACACATTTAAGTGACATTGACTACGCTCTTCTAATTGTGCTGTTATTCTCACTTAAGATGAAGGCTTACAAGACAAAATAGTCTCCCATTTAACAGTTACTACAAATGTTGCCCTATGACAATGGTTAACAATCTCACAACACATCAACAATATCCTTACTCTACTTTGTGTTCCCTATCATCAGCTTCCTACTCCCCTTCTGCCTTCTGGGCCTTGTCACTGGACTCCTGTACCTCGTTACTCTCATGGTTTTACTGGGCTGTCCATTCGCAGGCTGATCAGTGAACCTCGAAGGTAACTTTACCACTGAGCTTAAAGGGTGTCTGGGGGCCATACTCTCGGGGTTTCTCCAGTCTCCTTTAGGTCATTTGATTTCTTGACTGCTGTTCCCGTGGGTGTTGATTGTGGATCCAAGTAAAATGAAATCCTTGACAACTTCAATATTTTTGCCATTTATCATGATGTTGCTTATTGGTCCAGTTGTGACAATTTTTGTTTTCTTTATGTTGAGGTGTATTCCATACTGAAGGCTGTAGTCTTTGATCTTCATCAGTAAGTGCTTCAAGTCCTCTTCACTTTCAGCAAGCAAGGTTCTGTCATCTGCATATCACAGGCTGTCATTGATGCTTTCTCCAATTCTGATGCCACATTCTTCTTCATATAGTCTAGCTTCTCGAATTATTTGCTCAGCACATATGGATGCTAGCAGGTGTCATTTCAGTGTGAGCGCTCTGAGAGGAGGCTGCTTTTCAGTAGAAGGTGGAA